GAATAGTGTTGATACAATATTTTGTCAACCCAAAACATGGCGGACAAATGATAACATAATCAATGCGTGCTTCAAGTGATATCGGAAGTTCGTCATCTAGTATAATATAGATATCTGTGGGTGGCAACGGCAAATATACCGTTGATAGGAAGTGGTCCAACTCCATATGTTAAAGTATTAACATTCGTATTTTACTCTTATCTATGTTAAAGAATCGACATTCGTACTTTGCTCCTTCCTATGTTAAAAAATCAGCATTCGTATTTTGGTCCTACTCCTAATGTTACAGAATTGGAAACCGTATTTTGCTTCTACTTCTCATATTACAGAATCAGCATTTTTATACTACTTTCAAAAATTTCCAAAAACTTTTTGATTAAAATCTATCATTGATATTATAAAAACGTAATTATAGAAAAAAAGGTTTTATCGTTCTATTACGGCACATAATTTAAATATTTTTTATTTAAGTATTTTTACCAAATATTTTGAAATAAATTACATTTGATTTGAACTACATCAGTTAAAATACGAGTTCCTTACTCTCAAACTTAATTGTAGGGCCCCATTTACAACATTTCGGAGGGTGTCCGAGCACACACCTATGGTATTTACATATGAATCCGAGTACGATTACATTTAATTTTTAGTAAACCGTCTACAACTAAGAAATCCGTCTACGATAAGTCAAAGATAACTAAATGAACTACCGTACGCCGTTGGTTCAAATCGGTCGACGATTGATGGAATGCAATGATCCAAAAAAAATTAGTCGATAAATCGATGTAAAAAATGTATTGCTCAGCCGATATAAATTGTTTACCAAACGAATCAAGTCACTAGGTTAAATTATCGAACAGCATATATTTAATAATTATTTTAAAATAATTCCCATAAACCTTTCGACGCAGTTGTACGAGTCGATTTTTTCACGGTTTTTGTAATATTTTATTTGGCTAAACAACCAATATAGCACAGCAAATGATCGAACACGTTTTTGTGAACAAACCGCAGTACAAATGGTCTCGCAGATGTTCCGAATGCCAGAAAAGGTCGTTGTTCAGTCCAACGGCAAAATGCGCAAGTTGCAACAATTACTGCCACCGGAAGTGCAAAGTACGCCACGTCGAGTGCATGGAATCGACGACACCAGTGGTACTTATTTTCCGGACTACTCAGCAGCACTGTATTAACATTGCCGAACGTGATCTTAATTAACGTTCGTTTTTCAACTACGCAGGACGAATCCGTGGCGGCCGTCTCGGTACATGACCCGCGATCAATCTCACGGGAAAACGTTCGTATTAAAACCATCATCGGTACGAACGAGATGACGTCATCCAGATGTGCGGGAGAACTGTCTTTGCTCGGAGATCCGAAAGCGAAAAACGCAGGTATAACGTATTTTAAATTGCGGCATTAGCCATCAAAAATAAGCATAGCCGCTCAATCCGTCGGGTGCCGAGACTTTTGATTGATTTATTCGCATCGAGGATCAACAGTGCCCCGTTTGCAGTCTTGGATAATTCGAATTGTAGTGCACTGTCGAATTCGTAAACGCACACGTTACTCTTACTTCCGCGCACACGTTCACGCGCGATTGCACAGCATTTACCTGGTTTTGCATCATACACTGCGCAGATCCCGATTCCAAGACGGCTGGCACCCAACCCTTTCCGGCTGGCGAGGAGGATCGGATGCCGTACGATCCCGCGCAACACCAGAGTCGGTCGGGTCCGTCGGTGACGAGACGTCCGACGAAGATCAAAACGTTGCTCGCGAGATTTTTCTCCGTCTCGTCGTCACACATCCAACAGCAGCAGCGGTCGCCGACGACCGTTGAAGAACTCGTCACGGAGGACAGCGCGAACGCCGCCGGACCGCGAGCGGTGGACGCGGCTCCGGCCGGTGCGGACGACGTAACAGAGCCGAACGACTCGACCACGGTGGACGATGCGACGGAGCCGAACGACACGACGGAACCGAACGACGCGACGAAACCGAACGACGCGACGGAACCGAACGACGTGACGTGACGAAACCGAACGACGCGACGGAACCTAACAACTCGGCCGTGGTGGTCGCGGACGGGGCGCAGCAGCGGGGCGACGATGACGGTGTGGTCGTGACGGGGCCGGACTCGGAGGGACCCCGGACGATCACACGCAGCCCTGCGGAAGATGAACCGAACCCAGAGTCTGTCAGCGGGACGGTCGGCGAGACAGTGTCTATAGCGGTCGACGGATCGCCGAACAATCCTTTTTCAACAGACACACCGGCCTGGAGTAATTTTGTTTTATTTATTTTGTTTTTTTTCCCGCACGTCGACGTTAAAACCATGAAACTCGACACAACAGGTTGTTGTTGGCTAAACGCACAGTTCCCTAAGAAGTTTTGGCCGATCAACAGACGTTTCGTGCATTCGTCTGAATGCCTTGTCTTCCCGATGCCGGACCGATCGCGACGATGGTATCCGATTCAGGCGACCACCAACAGGAGATTATGTCTGAAGTAGCGGCCGAGTCGAAGACATCGCCAGCAACCATTCCGCCAACAGCAGCGATTCAAATGACAATCGTGGAGGACCAAAATTGATTTAGGGACTACGAGTTCGAGTAGCTTTCGTTTCCACATTGTTTCGTACATTGTAAACATTTTAAATTACGTTTATAATCAGAAAACGCCCGATCGTCGTGATAAACCTAATTAGTTAAGGTCGTCTCGAGATGAATTCTAAAACGTTTCTAAACGAATCTAAAAATGAATACTTGTAACATAATTCATGCAAATTTCTCATGTGAATTAATATGTGTCATCGATTTTGGGCTTGTCGCCCATTTTTCACGCCCGATTTACTAGTATCAGAAAATGTAATGTGACACATCGATTTGTATGATAACTCTGCAAAATTATCGAAGATGAAATGTATTTGTTATTATTTCTTATATCTGAATAATTAACATGGTTTTTATTGAATTACCAAATATATTTTGTTTTTGTTATTTTAGTAGAAGTAAACATTGATAGTTAAATCGCTGCTACCTGTTGAGTATATTCCTATGCGCATAACTTCTTCTAAATAAAATAAAGGTGAATTACATTTTCTTCCTATATTATTTAAGGTTTATTGTTGATTTTACTCTTATGTTTATTCCTCCTTCTAAATCAAGGTGAATAAAATGTTTTTTTTTTTTTAATTATTAAGACTTTTTTTTCTAATTGGAGACATTTTTTTCTTGCTGCTAAAAAATCTGATGAAAAACTTTGATCTGCTGTACAAAAACTGCGTTAACAGAATAATTATTTGAAACAGAAAAATTTTAATTTTAAAAAATAGTCAATGACCTTAAAAATGAAAATAATAATCATTGAGGTCATGATATTCATATACTGATGGAAAGTCAAATTTTACTTCTGAAGTTCAAATGTTGGGCGGAACTAGGAATTTCATCCCCAGCGTAAAATTTTAGAGGGTGTATTTTTTGTAATTATTAACAACTTATTTGATATTTATAACTTTGTTAAATACCGATAATAAGAGAGTAAACGCAATAAGTATAATTGTATAATAATTGCTAGAAAAAAATTCTCGAGAAGAGTATTTGATTATTGTATTTACTCTATGATAGCGCTTAATTTTAACATTTTCCCCGGGCGTAAAAATTACTAGTTCCATCTCTGCTCAAATGCTATTACTTTGGAAGAAGTAGAAATAAGGAATTAGGAGCAAAAGTGAATTTGTGAATTAGGTAAATATATTTAAAAACAAATATTACTCTCAAAGGTTAATAGGATTTTTAAGCTATGGTGCTGGCATAAAAAATTGTAATGGACTTCCTAAAGCTACTCAATCATTAATGTTTATGGTAATTGCCATAAATTCAAGTTGTAAAAAACAAATTAGTTACTTTTTGATTAATAGTCCTGCAATAGAAAAATTCAATTTAGAAAATATATGTCTAATACAAAATTATTATTAAAACCTACCTAATACCCTCTTGTTTTCAATTTTGTGTAGTTAACTTTAATATTAGAGTAAACTGACCTATTATCAAACATAAAGGAAAGAATATTATCATGTTTTGTTGGTTTTTATAATATTTTAATTTTTAAGAGATTATTGAACTTTTTTAAATTATATTTACATACTCTTAGCTCGCTTAAAAATATAACGTTGAAAAAAAACAATGAGGGTAATTTGTTTAAAATATTTTAGCGACTAGATGTTTAAGAGCTGATTTAACTATACCAAATTTCAAACCATTTTTTAATCATCTTTAAATGGTAATTATTAAAGTATATTAAATAATAATAAGATATTCAACTCGAAGAAAAATATAATCAGTCTTCTTTGATTCTTAAAAATTATGTTTATCCAAAATACACTATCCTGTCTTCCATAATCATGTGTGGTGACGTAAACAATGCGCCATGAGTCGTCCGGGTTGTTTACAATGTTGTTGGTGGATAAGGGGAAATCCCATGTTCTAGAATATGCGATGATTATTCGTTTCGAGAATGTTCTAGATAATCGACGCAGATATATATATACCGGCTGGATAGACGCTCAATCAGTCCGTGAGTACAATCCGCGACACACCGTGAATTACACTCCGCGATATATTCGGCAATTCCTCCGCAATTGTAACGCGTATCGATATTTGTACATACATATTTATATAATATAATGTCTATTTTAATTAAATTAAATTGTGAGTGATTTTTATTACTTAAATCCCACAAATTGGTGACCTCGACGTGATGGCAGAGACAGACGCAACGATTGCTCGAGTGGCCGTCAAAATACCAGATTTCATTTTGTCAGATCCCGAACTTTGGTTTGCTATGGTCGAAGGTAGTTTCGCCAGCGCGGGAATCACAGCTGACAGCACGAAATTCGGCTATGTGGTTGGAACATTACCGCCGAAATATGCAGTTGAAGTCAAAGACATAATTATGACGCCACCCTCGGACAGTAAGTATGTCAAAATTAAATCTGAATTAATAAAGCGTCTTAGTGCCTCCCAAGAGGAAAAAACACGTCAACTTCTGGAGCGTGTTGAGATTGGTGACCGTAAACCGTCACAATTTTTACGCCACCTCCAAAACCTGGCTGACTCTTCCGTTCCGGAAACATTATTAAAGACATTTTGGATGGGCCGCCTACCAAAAAGTATACAAGTGGCGTTAGCAATAGTTAAAGAGAGTAAGCTTGAAGAATTCGCTGTCCATGCAGACAATATCGCGGATGCATCTGGTCCTTTGCTACCTCAAATAGCAGAGACATCGAGAAGTGACACTCTTGAAGCCATGCTGAATCTTAAAATTTCTCAGCTTACCTTGAATATAAATCAGAAAATTGCGACGTTGAGAAGTGAAGTGGCAGCGATCGATACTCGTCCTTCGCGTAATCCGGACTCAAGACCAAGTACTTACCGCTCAAGATCTCGATCTCGGAGCCGTACTCTCCATGGTGCAGATGGATTATGCTGGTATCATTGGCGTTATGGATCACAATCGCGAAAATGCAAGGAACCTTGTACCTATAATTCAGGAAAACGTGACGGGTCATCACTGATGACGGCCAGTGAGACCAGTCCGTCCCCGCGCCGTCTATTCATTACTGATCGAACTTCTCAAACTCAATTTCTCATCGACACGGGTGTCGACCTATGTGTTTATCCACGTAGTGCTGTTCCAGACCGTCGAGTAAAATCCGATTACGTCTTATCAGCAGCCAATGGCACGCTTATTAACACCTACGGTACTATCGCGCTCAGCCTCAACTTCGGACTTCGTCGAGATTTCACTTGGAGATTTGTGATCGCGGAAGTATCCAAACCCATCATTGGTGTGGACTTCTTGAATCATTACAATCTTTTGGTAGACGTGCGTAATCAATGTCTTTTAGACGGTGTTACACGACTCACCGCTCATGGTCACGCTGTTGAATCCTCCATACCATCCATAAAGATTGTCGTGGGAGAAACGAAATAATCATCGCATATTCAAGAACATGAGATCTCCCCTTATCCACCGACAACATTGTATACAACCCGGACGACTCGTGGCGCGTTGTTTACGTCACCACACATGTATGATTCATGTTATTGTATAAAATGTAAATAAATAAACAGTTTGATGAAAATACCTGATGATGAATTTTTAATTCGAAACAGGTCATACTTTACCAATGTAAAGTATATCTAATAATACTCCAAATTAAGCATTTATTTTTTATTATTTTTTTGTATAAAATGTATTTTATAAAAATAGAAATACATATATTCATCATGTAATTATAAATAAAAGATCACTTTGTATTTTTTTTACTCTTATGATCCAAAAACTTATATTTGTTTCTTACTTTCATATTTATCCAGAATTGTATGAATAAAATGGAAATTTATTTAGTGGACCAAGTATTTGATTGTGGTGTTTGTAGCTGAGACGTCAATTGCTTTTGTTCCTGTCAACCCAATCTGCTATAAATTTTATTAACAAAAAGGATTAATTATTTGAAACATTTTTGAGCATCAATTTCCCTTGATTGCCATTATGAAGTATATTTTAGTAGTGTACCTTTTAAGCATCTGTGTGAATTCTTTGATAAATAATTTTTATTATTTATTTATACGGTTAAGAACTTTAACAGTAATTAGTACAATTTAACATAAATACTTGGTTTTAGAGTTAAGTGGGGGAAAAAAAAAAAATGTAAAGTTTAAAATTGTTTAATAAACAGAGCATAACCACATAAACGTAATATTATTTTCATTATAATCTATGAATATATTGGTAAACTTAAAACTTAACTAATGAATATTTTATATAATACTAAATTAATAGAGAATTAATATTAATAACTACACCCAAAACTAAGTATATTGTATTTATACATAATTGTTTGATTTTCAATAGAAAAGTAATAATTGAATCCAATAATCTTAAATAAAACAAAGTTTTCATTGGTCACTTAATTTATATTTAATTATAGTATTTTATTAATTATTGAAAAATCACCTGTACACAAGATCAAATTTTAATTTTTTAATACCATATTAGTACATATCAATACAAATCTATCTGTATTAAACACTTTAAATAAGTAAAAATATTTAAAAAATTATAATTAATTTGGAAAATTTAAAGACAGTCTTTATATAGAGTTTATTTGTACAAAAACATTGAAATTCAAAATTTATAGTGTATTTTTTAAATTACACTTTTTTAAATTAATTAAATTTAATTCATATATTACCTACCAATTTATTGTTTTGTTATGCCTAAAATTTTCTTTTAAATTATTAGGATTTTAATAAGACAAGTATTTATTTAATAGACATAGCCAAAGATAAAATTAATGATTCATTATTTATCCATGTCTTTGTATGTGGGATTATCAAAAGATTTATCAATCTTATAATTTAAAATTATAAAAATATAAAAAAATAATTTTAACTTATTAGAAAACTATAGTAAACAATACCAAAACAATAACAGTACTTCAGTAAACTTAATGAAAAATTATAATACATTATAAACTTTATGAAATTCATAAGTTAAATCACAGAATAAATAAAATATATACTTAAAATATATTACTCATTTCCTCATTTCGTCCAGTATCTAAAATATACAGATATATAAAATAATTATATTATTAGAAACAGGTTCATTATTTAAAATATATGTTTATTCTGTGATCAAACTGTTAACATCTGTATGAAATCTTATACAATTGATGTATTTATTTCTTTATACAAACACAACTATGAAATTAAAATGAATAGCATACTACACTAGTAAAAAATTATATAATAATAAACCATCAATAAAGAAAAAATATATCATATATATCCTATATAATATTTAAGTAATTAAAAATGCGAGTAGGAGTTAATCTTACTCAGCAATACTTATCGCATGCACAAACAATGCAAGACAACTAGGTGAACAAATAAAATACAACTTTTATAACTTACCTATTTCTTTAAAACAATAAATACATATATACATATTAACAAAAAATAAATGGAATAAATATACATCAAGGCGTTTATGACAGACATGGATATTATACGATTTAGTATAATATAGAGTGAAAATGTTTATTAAAAACCTATTATATTTTCATTATAATCAAAAATAATTAAAATCAAAAACACCTTGAGTGCATATATATACTAGAACTACTTAAAACTAGAAGCGAATGTTCTCGAAACAGCTATCGATGAACTTGAAAATTGAAACTCTATTAAACTTGTTTACTGCGTACAACTTGAGCTGATAAATATCGGCAAATAAGTGCTCGTTTTCTTACGTAGTTTAGCGACACCAATACTGAATTTAATGTTTTATAATACTTGTCAAGAATAATATGCATGCAATGCAAGTTGTAGTATATACTGTAGACGGTAGGGCCAAGGATCTTGGCATAAGATCGATTATACGTCTGTATTATTTAGAGTGTTTGCGAAAATTGTGGGATTCGAATAAAAACAGTAGGGGGAACGATTCCCTACATTTATGGCACGTATAGAGCTTGACATTCATGTGCGTTTTTTTATGCAGTTTCCATTCGTGTGGATAATTGAAACACTTACCGCAGTCTTGGCACCGGTGCCGTTTGACGCCACGGTGCAGTTGCTCCTTGGGTTGATTATGGTCTGTTGTTTCGTTCGCGATTACCTTTTTGGAACCGCTATTATCACAGTCCGACTTCAAAGTCGGCACTTTCTCGACCGTTTCGATTTTAGATATATTGACCGACGGTACTGACGTAGCAGCAGTAACGACGGGCGATGCCGAGGTTTCGTTACTCTCCGGTCCGTGGCATCGTGCTGGCAGCGATGCATTCGCATTGCTGTCGGCAATCCGCGGGTTCCCGTTAACGACCGCCTCGGACTTCGGACGTTCGGTAAAATCGAGATTTTCAATCGGCCCGCTGTCGACGGGAGGGCATGACGCGGACTCCGTGCCAGTCGGACTGGCAGTCTTGTCCGCCTCGCTCGGCGAAACCCCGACAACAGGATAATCAGTGTCGTAGCTGTTGTATGGACCCGACGAAGATCCGGCGTTGACAATCGTGTTGACACCTACAACCGAGGAATATTTATTATCCATGGGGGCGGTCGACATTCGTGCACCGCTTTCGAAGCGTAGCGATTGCTGTGAACTCCGATCGAAGTCTCTCACGACAGTTCGGTGATGCGGCGATCGGTCGCGCCCGGTCCCATTGGAATCACCGTAATGATTTTGGTTACGCGCCGGTTGCGCGCCGTCGGCACTGTAACCGTTGCCATCGCTATTCATATTGTTCGGTGGTGGACCGTAATGGCTTTTCGACGGCGACTCCGGACTGCAGTAGCCGTTCGTCTGTGCGCTCATCACGTCGTCAGGTTGTTCCGAGAACGACGATGTTTGTTCATTCATCATGTCGATAAGTTGTTCCGCGAGAAACGACGGCATATGCCCTTGACGGTCGTCGAAAAACAAATCGTTCGCGACTTCGGTAGAGCTTTCCAGGTACAAGGGTTCCGTTGGACCGGGAAACGCCGTGGTAACCGCGGTCGACTGCAATCGGACAGAACCGAAACCAGTGACCGGTGCGCGACGGTTCCCGTACTCCTCCTGCACGCTAGGTGGATTCATCCGCCACGTCGTTCGTTCGCCACCGTAAACAACGTTTTGCGGTTGTTGCAAAGCAAATTGCATCTGCGGCGAATGCTGCGACCCGGGATCTTCAACGTTACGGTACGACGAACGGTTCTCGGGCAAGTAAACGCTATTCGACCACATTGTATGTTGTTTAACGTAGTTGCTGTTGCCGATGCTGCTGTTTCCGCCGTTGTTGACGTAGTTGTTGCTGCTGCTGCTTCCATTGTTGTTGTTGCCGCTGTAGATACTGGTGTTGGCGTGAATATAATTTTGTTGCGGATAATCACGCGTGTTCCGCGATAGTCGTTCAGGATTATTTTTTCCGTTGTAAATCATGTCCCCGAAAACTTTTTCCACCTCTGCGGCCGATACGAATACCGAATAATCGGTGGAAAACGATGAGGCCGAGTCGTTAGATGTTCCGGCGTAGGAGACGTGTTCTGTGGGACGCGAAAATGCGGTCGACTGCGATGGCGGATTACCATACGAACCGATTACCGGGATCGGCGGAAAACCGTCGAAACCGATTGATTCGTTTACTCGACTGGGCAACGATCCGCCGGAGCCCGTTCTAACGTTGGTGTTTTGCATCCAAGCGCGCTGTTCGGATGGATTGCCCTGACTGACAAAGTAAGTCGCATAATGTTGGTTCCAGTTGTTCTGACTGAGATACGGTCGTTTGTCCATCGTTAAATTGGATTCTATTGAATTCTGCGTACAAAATTCCTCCCGCCGACGAGCGTATCTGAATAATGTAGTCTATAAATAGAATAATTATAATAATAATAATAATACTACGATAAAAACTTCTTATAGCTACTATTTACTCTCAACAATGCAATCATATACGGTTTAAAAATGAGGATCTAGTATTCGGAAGAATTACTAGTAGTTTTAGCCGTTGTTTTAAATGTTATGTTATTAGAATTAACAGCAAAAACTCAAAAACACGTAGCCATTAATCATCAAAAACAAGCAAATATCACTTAGTATTTTATAAATTATAAATGTATTTGCTATAGTAATAGTTATGAGTTAAAAGATAAAAATGTGAATATTAAAATAAAGATATATTTAGTTTGTATAAGTACAGTATATACCTAACCTAATCTAACCAAATCATTTATACTTATTTATAATTAGTATACCTATAAATGATTTGGTTTAAAATTATGTATACATACCTTGATTTTTTTTTCTGTTTCTTTATAACGGAAAAATTAGGCGGGACCGAGCGATTTCTTTTATAAGCAGGTTATACTGTAATAATAATAATTATAGTAATAAAAATATTAATAATAATGATGATGATGATGATGATGATGATGATGGTGGTGGTGATAATAATAATAATGATAATTATAATAATAATAAAAATACAAATAATAATTATTAAAATTAATTTGAGCTGGTTGTGAAATAATGCGCGAAAAAAAATTACCTCTCCGTATTAGACCGGGTGATGGGATGATACGTCAAGTGTTTGGAGTGTGGCACACGCGGCGAAGGCTCACGGAAAGCGTATTTCGATCGAACCGGTACGAAGGTAGAACGACAACTGTCATCGCTACCCAGATGTCGGCAGCTACTGTGTCATGATATGGGGAATCATAATAATTAATAGGTAAATGGGAATGGGAGGCGGTGTTGGTAATTGAACACGTGGTCATTATTTCGATACGGAATTTTCTAATGTAAACGACTTAAGGCGCGGGTGGTCGATAATGTATTGACGTATTGTGTACTCCCTATACTGGTTTTTCACACTCGCATCGGAAACCTCAATTACAGAATAGATCTTCTCTTTGCGTCTGCCATGCGTAGGTCACAATTGTGTAGATCCTTTTTTTTTGTGGTACGGTTGCAAAACGGTGTTGCTACCTGACACTTAAAATGAATACAATTTTCTATGAAAATCAATGCGTTGTAGTAAATGGATGCAACATTTGAGAAAAATTATATATGATATTTTTAAAAAAATCCAAACTAATCAAAAATATATTTGAGTGTGGTGTGTGTGTGTATAACTACTAATTTCTACTATAAAATATTTGATAAATAAAATATATATCTATTTGCAGTCATACTAATAATAATCAAAGGACAAATTTTTATAACTATAAAAAAAAAACAACAATTTCTTATTTTTTAAACAAAATCGGGTTTTTATATACTTATTTTGGTATAATTTCATATTTGTATGGTCATAAATTTGTTATAAGTAATATACTATACAAAGTAACGGATTAAGTACGAGGCAAATTTTTATATTATATAAATTTATTATATAAAAATATTATATTTATTTTCCTTTCGAATTAAATTTTTTTTTCGTCTTCGTAATATTTACGATTTTTTTATTTTTATTTCAACTATAGTCGAATAACAAATTTGAACAAACCATAATACAATAATATTTAACACGTTTAAACAGTAGTTCATATATTTACTAAACACAACTAATTAAATACAAATATAATTTCTAAATATATGTATAAAAGCATAATATATTTTTACTTGTATAATTATGGAATATATTACGTGATAATAACTCTCGCCGTTTCTATATTATTGAATATTATTTTCGAGATTTTAATACGCTTGTCGCAATGCATAGACAATATTAATATTTGTATATTTGTTTTAAAACTGTTGAAAGATACATTCATAATTCTGGCAGTTAGAAGCCTGGATCTTGCCTTACGAAATAGAGTATTCTAGATAATCTACAGGTTGGAATTTTGTATTCTTTAAATTGGTTTTTTATACATTTCCATTCCTCATATAGCTTATGATAATTTTATATTGTCAAACTCGTTTTAATAGATATATAATAATAATTGTTTTATTTTTTTATTGACACATTCAAGGGTGTAGATTTACGAGCGTTTTATAGTCAGTATGTATCTTAATGTACGCATACCATGTAAACAATAAAATGGAATTTTTCGTTAAAACTTTGAAACATTTTAAATATAAATAATGATTTCCCGTACATTCATTAACAATGCTAATTTTTGTAGAAATAATAAGCGCTTTTTAATGACTAATCCGTGTGGAATACTGGAATGTTAATTACACTAATCACAGATACCTAATAATTGGTTTTAGTACTTATATTAAGAAAGGATATATATAAATATATTTACAATTTAATTCGTTACATTATTATATGTACACGGTTATCAAACGTTAAAATCCACTTAACCTTTTCTGGAATCCATTGAATTTAATCATAGCTCAGCTCCCACCCCTTTCTTCTGCAATTAAAATCTTTAGCTTAAATTGTTATCTAATATTTTAATTATAATTTACAAAAAATATTACCATTGCTAAAATATAAGAATAAATTACAGATTGTTTTTTTACTAAACCATTATTTGAAAAATATTACTCTTGGAATTTTTTTTATAAAAATGTTATATCCACCCCGTGGATCTCCAAATAACCATCTATGGGCTCACTAGTGGTTAAGAATGTGTTGACTATATGATTAAAACATAACAAAATCAGCATTTTAGTTGAAAAAATAAATATAAAACTATAGTATTATTTAATTATAAATCAACAGTAATTTTTGTAATTACCTAACAGTGTTAGGTAATTTTATTGATGACCATAAAAAACCTCAGGATTTGCCAATCAAAATTATGGACATTATTTAAGCCAAAACGCTTTCGTTATTGAATGACGAAGGACATCCAGAACAAACGAGCAGATTTTCGGCCAATCGTGCTACAGTAAAAAATTAGATTTTTCAAGGTTATATCAGTCATCTGTTGCATACGACGACGATATTTATTTGTTAATATTATACTAATGCATTTAGTTATTTATAGTTAGACACGTACAAAGTTATGTGTATATAAAATAAATTCAATTGTAAAACGATATATTTATAATTCCTAAATATACTAAAAATTCAAATTACATACGATTAAATCATACTTATACTTAAATAATTTATATTAAACGCATTAATTCTGGGAAAATAAGGAAATTAAGGAAATATATCATAATAAGAATTATTTTATAATTAAAGACCGGATGTAATTGATATTGCAACTTTATATTGATACCAGGAAAATCAAATCTGATCAAATATATACGAGTATACGAATCGAATTAATTACAGTCTCCTATTTAATTTAATAATGCAATTCTTTGCAATTTACAACGATTTTGCAATTTTTGTAAACTTTACATGATAAAATATACAAATTATTATTTCTTAAGTAATTTTACAATAAAAATACAATTACGACGTAAGTTTTTACGTGTAATTAAATGTAATTTAACAATTTTAAAATTATATTTATCTAAGTTATCCACAAAACTAACAAGTTCAGAGGAATCAAATAGACAATTACTTGATAGTTAAATCATATTTAGTGAAGTTGAAAATATTTTAATAAATATTCCCGGCAGTCCCAATAGGAAAAAAGTTAAAGATAAATTAAAATATGTCTTAGAAAAAAATGAAGAATATAAAACTATTAAAACATAATATGAAGTTATGGCAGAAAATCAAAATTTTAATTTAGATGTAACACCAAATTTTTTTAAATTACTTTAAATATGCACCAATAACAAGTGTAGATGTTGAACGTACTTTTTCATTAAATAAACATTCATTATATTTTAAGTAAAAGACAATATAATTTTCAAGAACACAATTTAGAGATATTATACAATTATAAATTTTAATTCAGAAAAATTATATATTTTTTAAATATTATATTAATGTCAATAATATTATTTAAGTAAGTAATTAATGATCATATATTTGATATGATTTTATTACGTAATTTTAATGTATTTTTTTATTGCAATTTTAACATATTTGTAGTGCAATTTTGGCATATTTTTAGTCTATAATATAAATATTATCTTCGTCTATATCTATCTAGGAAATTGACTTTATCTATAGATATATCTTTCATTATATCTTATGCAATTGAACACTATACCAATTTTCGAATTTAATTAATCTATTAAAAATGTTTTCTAGATATAAAATTCGTTGAAAGGTACAGTATATTATCAACATTAATAACAACAACTGTGTACATAGTCTTAAAATTAAAAAAATAAATAAATCGAATGTTCTATCCTTCAGATATATTTTTATTCTTACGTACAGCTAGGTTCTAAGTAAATATAATTTGATTGAAAATAAGGGAGATGGTAAACTGCGGCAAGAAAAAAATTATACAATCTGCGACGATTTATTTGATATACCTACGATATTTTATACTATATAGTATGTAATATGAAAAATATGTACCTATATGTAATATGTACTTAAGTATACCTATATACGTACATCGTTTAAATAACTATATTATGTTGCATCTAGCGTACAAAATGGTAAAATAAATTCAAATGTATTTATAAGTTTTAATGAAACATACTGAATATTGGTTCATTTACGTTTGATAATACCAGTTAGTACCTACTTACTAGTGTTAGATGTCAGTAGAAGTAGTTAAAAGTTTAATATATTATAATTCGATGTGATAGAGTTTTCAATAATGTTTAATTAGAATGGCAAACAATTAATAGTGTAAAATAATTTTAAATTCAAATTTAAATATGAATTAAAAATAAGTGGTAATAATTCATGTGAACACGTAAGACCCAACATAACATAATTAATTAAACGACATACGTACATAGGTAGGTATATAAAATAAATTGCCGCAAATTGTATAATGTTAATTTTTTTTTCTTGCCGCAGTGTACACATCGACCTTTTTAAAAAAAAGTTAATTTCGCCGTAGTTTACATACAGCCGAAAATAAATCATGTTTAACAGGGAAAGTAGATTATCAATAAAAAATATACATTTTTAGTATGAAACTTTGAAGATCTTATAGCGGCAACAAGCCAGTGAATGATAAAAAATTTAAACACTATAGGCTATTTTCAAATATACGGTCAGATATTGTTTTATTGTCATTATTATTATTACCTGTCTACCAAACGGGATAATAAAACTATTATTTAAAATATAGGTGCCTACACATATGTAATAAAGGTTAATAAAGGCACAGTCTATATATAAAGTACGCCTACGTCATCAAAAATAATATTAGCCAGTTATTCTCCAAATTCTCCTCTTCACGAGGAGAAAAAGACTAAAACTTTCACCTCATCAAACCGTTTCGCTGTTCTCGCCTCACCTAACCTAACTTCGACACTAACGATGACTTTGTGTTAGGTGCGGCGCCATCTTCCCGCGAAGTCACTGTTGTATCTTCATTTCTACCCTCTGACCAGACTGAGCCCCCGGCTCCCCCTCTTTACATCAGGAACATAAATAACTTTTTCGCATTCAAGGATGTGTTAAGACCGTTTCAATGAATAGCCAAATTATTTGATGGAAACTAATGCCAGTTTCCATTCTTTTCGTCCTCGCTGCCAACGTCCATTTAGGATCTACGAGTATATCAGAAACCTCTATCATTCCACTCTCAGTGCTGACATTTCGTCCGCATTGTCGGAAAATGGACACATAGTGTGGCAAGTTCGCAATATTAAAAAAAATAACCGTCCTCTCACAATATTTTTTGTCGACATCGAACCCAATGTAAATAATAAACATATCTACAACACCTTTTCATTATTAAACACGAATGTAGTGATTAAAAAACCGAACAAAATGACATACGGTCCGTCGCAATGTTTCAATTGTCAAGACAATGATCACACGCCAAAATACTGCCATCACCCATCACGTTGCGTCAAATGCGGTGAGGCTCATGAGTCAGATAGTTGCACCAAGGATCACTCCAGTCCAGCTAAATGCGTCCACTGTTCTGCAAATCATACGGTCAGCTTCAAGGGTTGCCAGTTCTACCAAACTAAATTCTAAATATTTATATTTATATTTTAAATCATCACAAAATCAAGTCTTCCAACTCCAAAAAAAATATATATACAAAAAACTTATTTCCCGAGTCCCTCCCCATTGACCCCCATCAATCCATTCCGTTATATGCCGCTGCTACATCTGGTTCAAAACCGAAAATTAATCCGCAAAACTCAAATTTAAATTTAGCTCTTTCAAAATTCCTATCCGATTTAACCTCCATAGTAAATTTATTTCTCTCCATTATATTAATAACCAATTAATTATGACATTTACTTTTAATATTATTTCTGTTATTATATACACTAATATTCCGTTTTGTTTATTTCTTATCTGACATTATTATTTTATTTATTATTATATCATTATGTTCATTATGCTAATTATAATAATGCTAAGTATTACTTATTGTATCACTGTATCTATCAATATGTAATTGTCGAACTATAATAGTTTATACTGAAAGTTTTTAATAAAAAAAATTTAAAAAAAATTTATACTCTCAAGTAAATTTAATTATAATTAGTGATAAATATCAACAGGATTTTCACTCAACTTTAAATTGAGATGGTTAATAAAATATACTATAGAACAATAGTAATACAGGTTACGAATACCATTCTTCCATTTTCATAATTTATTGGTTCTTATTTTTTATTAATTTAATATAGACTTAAAGGGAAATTTTTGACAGTATACATTCAAAAAATTTAATATGAACATCGCTGATTAGTGATTACTTATTCAAAGATAACAGCCCAAATAATAAACTAGAGAGCCACAGGTACTATGATACAGGTATATGATATATATTGTCTAGATAGCTAATTTGATATATTGCTAGTGTAATATTTTACTATTGCATAAGTATTATATCTACTTATATTTAATATTTGTATTATGTAATATCAGTTAAAATTTAAATATTGAAGAGTTTGAATTGTGAAGAAAATATTATAAAAACATAAAATAAATTATAATGTAATACATTGTTTCTTTTTATATATCCCTGATATAACTATATGCTTTTTGGGAATAAAAGTAATTTGTTTTAACGAATTTTTTTTTTTAACATATTTGCGGTTTATTACTTCTGGATAGAATTTTTGAACAAGTTACTTTTATTGAAAATAAATGAACGTAGAAAGGAACTGAAAAAATCATTCATGTTCCTCTAAAAAGTGAACAAAATTTCAATATGTTCTTAAACATGAAAAAGGAACTAAGTTCCCGACAAGTTTTTAAAAATGGAACGAAAATGAACAAGTTCCTTTGAACGCGTTCCTTCTAAGCACTGCTGTTAACTATAATTATCTATGTCGTTTATCAAACCTACTTATTGTACAAAACTTTAAAGATAGTAGTTTTACTCTAATAGATAAAAAAAATAAATAAAAATCATAGATAATTAATTTTTATCGCAGTTGACTATTTAATTTATTAAACATGTCTAGTAATTACATTTAATATAATATTATAACTGATAATAATTATACTAATTATATTAACATTTAGTAAAGATTGTATTCACTTATTTTGATATACCCATACAACCTTTGGAACAATTTTTTTTTCTTTATTTGTCCCAAATACTTTACTTGAGTATCCTCCATTGCTATTTTTTAAATTTTGATCATAAAGAAAGAACCATATTTTTATTAGTAATACATTTTTGATAACATTGAGTATTTTTTTATATATATATTTTTTTTTACCTAGTTATTTAAAATATTTTTCTCTAACTGTCCCTACTTATTGACATTAATGACAGCAATATTATAACTATAAAACAAATCTCCGCACTGATATAATGTTTAAAATGTTAATTCAAGTACTTTTATCTAAAAATGATTAGTTAAATAATTATATTTAATAATTAGTATAAGATAATTATTTAAATTACTAACCATTTTATTTAATTATTATTTTTCTAGTTTTCATAAATAATATTTTTTTTATAGTTTACAATTCATTTTGTCAATTACGAGTAAATTACATGACTGTCAATTTTTTTTTTTTATATATAGGCAATTAAATCAATGATGTATACATTACATGGAAAATGCTTGTCTATGCTATATCTGCTCCTTTTTAATATTAGTATTTAAAAAAATATAAAAATAATAAAAATTAATAAATCTATAATATACGAGTATATATATATATAAAACTTAAAAAATTATATTATATATTAATAGTATATTCTCATTGCAGTAAATATGCTCAAATAACTAATTGATGTGTTGAAATGATTATGATGTGTACGTAGTCAAATTTAATATCATACCTACAACTTGGTATTACACTAAAAAGTAATCCTTCACTTATACCTTTTCATATATAAGATATAATGGTAAAATAGTTGCCCTTTTTCAATTTCTTTCTTTAGAATTCTGAATTTAACAATGTTATATTATATAAATTATTTTTTTAGTTGTATCCTGTTAGGTATATTATTGTAAAGAGAACAAGAAGTTTTTAAAAATATTTACACCCATTAAAAATTGAATAGTCTTTGCAAACACAGTGTCTATAAAGATACTAAACCTCAATAATTTCTGAAAATTATTTTCCTCTAGTTATCAATAAAAAAAATAAAACACAATTTTAAATCACTCAATAATAAATATTATGAGAAATAATAATAATTATAATAATTATATAATATAAAATATTATATAATAATTATAATTAACTTTTAAGAGCAATTTTTATTATACTAATATATAATTTAAGGTAAAACCATGCCAGTGTTAAAATAAATAAGTGGTACAATTATTTCATATCAAAATGTATGACTATACTTTATTTGGTGCTGCACATGTATGCGGACTAAATTCATATACCTAAACCATATATTTGAGTGGAAAAAAAAAATTAAATATAATCACATGTAGTATAGTATAAGTAAGTAAGGTTGCTGATTATATATGCCATTTTCTCACTATAAAGTTGTTTAAATTAGGTAGATACAGAAATAAATTATAAAGTTAAAATTATTGATTCAAAACAAATATGTAGGTACTTAATAAGTTTTTTAGGTATCTATCTGTCATTGATTGTATAATATGGTTATGTGTAAGTGTTCATTATACTAATAAATTATAGTTTTTATTTATTTATTATTATTATATTTATCATGCAATTAAAAAGATTTTTATTTGATTGTTGGCCAAAGTGAAGAAAGTGCCACTGCGTTTTTAAGAGGACTCAACTTATTAGACATTGCCAAAAACACATTAACATGCGATAAATTTGGTAGTAAAATGTTATAAGCTAGAAAATGCAATCGTGGGGGAGATTTTCATAATTATTTTTTTTAAATTAATTAATTTTTTGACATGTTAATATACTACACGGTCTACATAAACTGTATACCACATACTAGAGCAGAAACATGATGGTAGTCCACATACAGGAGCAAAAATCTTAATTTTTATTGATTTTACTTAAAATCAAAGATTAAACTAAAAATTTAAAAGGATTACTAAATTCATAAGATATCGTACTGAAATAAATATTTGTATATTTCAAATTTTTATAATAGTTATTAAAGTATGCAATTGTAATTATATTACTATATTATAAACTGTTTATTTAATTGAAATAATAGTTACCTCTTATTGATGACAAACTGAAAACTATATAATAGAATTGTTGACTGATAATGTCTATTAAGTGGACGTTTCTTTGAATCAACAGTATTTGATTAAATTTTTCATTTAACAGTATGTTTAATCATTGATTAAAAAAAGTTGTAATAAGTGAAATCTAAAAATAACAAACTCATAGTATTTATTTAAGTACATGAAAGTAATTTTAATTGATCATAATAGATACATAACAATAGTTATTCAATAAAAGAACAGCCATGCATATCACACATTAGGCTTCAAAACATACAGATTGGAATCAACTGTTCAATATACAGACAGACGGGAAGAAATAACCGATATACTTACATGCCTGGATTTAACTGCAACACACCGACAGTCAGCATAAACTTCAACTGCTTAAAATACCGTAAAATTGTTTTGCTGAGGATGCAAATTCAATGTATTCCTGGAGTGTAGAAGATGCCTCTATCACGCATTTTGCATTTGACCATTAAACACAGCACTGCAATATCTGGTACATAACATTTAATTGAACGTCAACTTCGCAAAATAAGCGTAGGAACTAGTTATAAATTATGAGTAATGACAGCTACCGACACGCACATGATATCATGAACGTTATCAAACGTCAACCGCTAACTACTCACCATATGTTTACACATCCGTGACTCATATCACTTCATATCACCATGTGATCAGTACTCGGAGGCCACTTACTGCATATGGGCATGATTTTGTTCCGGAACTGCACCTCGAACGGTTACGTCCGCGTTATTTTATGATCAGCAACTTGCTATACGAGTAAACGTATTATAAAACGGTACAGCGCGATGCGTTAAAAGGTTATTACCTATACATGTGATAATTTCGCTCGCGCAGTGAGACGGAGAAAAACGTGCACGCCACCGGAGCGCCCCTGTAGAGAACACGACGCGTTGAATCAACCGGTGGGGTACGTTTAGTGGTGGGCCGACCTGCGCGCCGCAGACGAGAACTGGTCGCCGCCGACTACTGATATCTCACGGCGAACGGTTAACACGACAAAAACAATGTGCACGCATGGAAATTGTTTCCGTTTTTAATAATATCGTAACAAATACGCGTTACCATCGTCTGGTCAGCATACGGATACGGTTCGAATTTTGGTGTCTAACAAGATGAGATGCAGTGGATCAATAAGCGGATCGAGTGTCATTTCTAGTTGTACCCCGGCAGCTACCAGTTTTCGGCGGTCAGACTCCACCCCATTGATCAAGGGACCGATGTGGCACTTGTCGCGTCCGTTTTGCTAGGTAAATGCGCGTGCGCGCGATACGCATCATTTATATAGTTACGCTAACCGCTCAACAGCAGCTTACCTAGGAATTTTTTTTGGGGGGGAGGGGGGAGTCCAAATTTTTATTTAATCTATTCTCTAATTATAATTATAGTTTAACCCAATACTAGCAAATTACTGTTAACATATTATAGTATGTTTTATACATTATTGGTTTATTATATAATCAGCGCCAATGAGGAAGTACTGGGACAACCCGCTTCCTTGTTGGCGTCGGTTTAAACAAAAAAAAAAAAAAACTGTCGAGTATTTAGAAATTTCAATGGGGGGGGGGGGGCCGGATCCGAGATCCTTGGGTACGCTCTTTCCGCCTGGCAGTGGCGTACGAAATAATTACCTTCGTGGTGACAAAATGTGTTTTAAATTATTTGTATGCAACTGCAATCGGTACCAGACTAAGAGCGCTTAAGACACTTTGACTAGGCGCTGACCGGCAATTTTCAGTTGCGCGATAGTTGCGCAACAGTATAATCGAATTGGTGACGTCCACAGTGATAAATGATAATCAGCTCACATACAACTAATCAGTTTGACCAACTAATTAGTTTGTGTTTTGTCACAAATCATTCGATTGCGCGATTATATACTCGTATAATTGTTTTGTGTCATACACGACAGTTTAGTTGCATTTGTGAGCGTGGTTATGATTCAATTGTTGCGCAACTATCGCGCAACTGAAAATTGCCCGTCGGCGATTAGCCTTTGTGTCTGAAAAGAATCGCGCGACTAACTAACCGTTTTTCCAACGCTCGTGTGACCCTAGCCAAAGCTGTGGTTACACAGTACGAGCTAGACGACCGAGTTTCCATAACAACTACTGCAGTGCAGCCACTCGCATCGTGTAATCGCATTATACTCGTAACTGTCACCTGAATATGGTCATCGCCTGCTCGCATTCTCCCACTACACCACAAGCAGCAGCTCGAATCGTATTGTGTGCTCGGTATTGACAGTAGCTCGTAAGCCAATTTTGGAGAAACGAAATTCAAAATTATTCCCACTGAGTTGGTGTCATTCTCATAACTGCTTTATAATCTAGGGGGATCTTCATTGTATAGTTCTTTAAATATTGTAAGCGGTGCCCTTTTCCTTTGCATCCAATACCTGACCCAAATCGTTTTTTTTTTTCTACAGTTCGAAGTACTTCAGCGCAAAGTATTTTTGTAACCGCTTTTATTCCGTTATTAACTGTAATAAATTTTGTATTTTGTGACAACATTGCATAAGACCTAGATAATATTATGTTGCGATACTGCTGCAACATGCACTACAATGAAATTAAAAAATGACAAAAACACGTGCAGTAAGTGCCGTTTTCGGTTTACTCCATCAGCTCGCATTTGTGTGATCGGGTGAGGCGGGTTGAGCTATTATCATGCAAGTACACTAGTAAAAAAGCTGTCCACTATCAGGTCAGCAGCTCGTATTGTGTAACGTAGGTTTAAGATAACATTGCTACAAATATACTGCGCAACCCAATCGACGGCATGTCTTGTCCCCGTCAGCCACCAGACACCATTAATATGGTACTATGAACCATGACACCACTGATAATGTATAAACTTGAATTAGTACGTTCAGACGAAACACATGTATACGAATAACCGCAGAATTGTACAGTGAATGGTTTCAGAAGTACTTTATTTATTTAATAATTCATAATACTTTATTTATTTAATAAAATCATTACCAAAATTAAATTATATTATAATTTTAAATTAAGTTAAAACATGTAGATTCGTATTAAAAAAGATCGTAAGATAGAGTATGAAAATTATCCTTTTATAATCTATTCTCAATAATAGAAAGCATCCAGTGGAACCTTTTATGTTTTTTATTTTTATTATGTTTTCTTTTAAGCAACAGAGCTAGTCGTAGCTAGTCGTAGAGCTTCTACTTTCATGGTTGAGTAAAAAATAAATAATAATTATTAAAGTAGGTAATTGTATTTAATCAGATACGACAAGCAAGGCCGTAACTGGGGAAGGGGTCCGGGGGTTCGGACCCCCCAAAATTTTTAAAAGTAGAAACATTTTAGCGGTAAATATAGTTTATTAACTATAAATTGTATTAAATAATAATGTTAGACCCCCCTCCCGAAATATTTTTCCAGTTATGGCCTTGACAACAAGTGTCTCATGTGAAAGACGCTCTAACATGAAACACTTTTTGTGTGCGATTCTAGTGGCCGACCGGCCACAAAGTGTCTCATCTGAAAGCGCTCTCGTCGGCATCAGGCCGAACCACAGAACTGAGCCACGCCCATACGCACAACTTGCCTGTCGGGATACGATCTTATTTTGAACGGACCGTATATTGTATTGCGGTTAGCACGGCCACGATGCGTCAGCGCGTCAACGCCATACAAATTATAAAAACTGAAGATCATAAATCCGTTAACTATTTTTTAATTTTTAAACTCTGTATACCATTTAAACCCACTTAAATCGCTTCAGAACTGTATAAGATGTCCGTACACATTTCTATGTTCGTTCAATTGCGTTATTTTTTACTTTATTATTTTAAAATTATTATTAATATTTATATTTATATAAATAAATATATAAACATTAAAACAAATAAAATATTATAATTTATGTATAATAAAAAATTATTACTTTAATTTAGAGTTAAAATGTAAGTGCAATGTTTAATATAATATTATATTAATGTACACACTTCGTACGGAACAGAACGTGCGCGGCCTACATATTACGCCTACAATTAGTTTACTACTATTTGAAGTGAACATTTATATCTTTTACCTATCAAAATATATTAGAGGAATGACTGCCACTCCTCAGTTACAGTGCCCAATTAGGGGGAACTTAGACTGGTTTCCTCCAAATTTCAGCAGTAATTTTAAAAAATTAACTCAATCCAAATATTAATTGATCTTTATTTTATTTATATAAAACAAATTTTCATTGGAACATTTTAATGAAAATGATTAAAAATATATTCAATAGTATAAAGTTTTTTTTTTAACATCATTGTGAATGTTTTGGTGTTAATAGTGTCCGTATATTGATTATATTTATTTTATATTTGAATTGAATTTTTTGTTAATATTCTATTAACTAATTAATAACCTACATGTTATGTTCGGATATATTTATTAACTATACGGATAAACCCATAACCTAAACCTTAAACCTATGACCCGCTATTCTAAGTATTTTTTGAAAGAATTATTCTACTATCGCTCAAGATTCTTGGATATTCATAAAAAAAAGTTTTTTTTTCGATACTTTCGCAAATTTATTTCAATTTGCACATTTTACAGATATTGATAAATACACAAACATTTTGATCTTTAACAGACAATTTTAACTCTAAATTATTTTCCAGAAGGAAGGAGATTAAAATTGGTAAAAATCGCCCAAAGTCAAAAATTCTGGGCGTAATAGTCGATTTTACCCTTTTCCAAAAAATGTTGCCTGAGGGACAAAAATTACCTATACTTAAAATTTATGTTATCGTAGTAGATTAAAATTACCTTAAGTAAAAATGTCTGGCATAACACATTAGTCTAGATTTATTTAAAAGTAAAAAAAAATATGAATTTTATACTTTATCAAATTATTAATTTATTTTTTACGAGTAGAGTAATATTATCTTATATTTGAAAATGTATATTTTATTTATATTATATAACTTAATTATTTATTATATGCGTAAGCTGTTTCACTAAATTTTTTGATTATCATTATTTTTGATAACATAAATTTTAAGGTAATAAATTATCAGCTAACCTAGACCAGCGTTTCTTAAATTGTGTTCCACAGAAACCTAAGGTTCCGCGAAGATCACTTCAGTGTTTTGCGAAGCTTAAGTAATTTTTTAAAATTTTTTAAGAAAATTACTTTAAAATTTCTAACTAAAAGATAAGTAATGGTGATAAAATGTTTGCATTATAGGAGAAAATTTTTTGTATATTAAATAACAATGTATAAGCCATATGAAATAGTCTAAATTTATATTTAGTCTAATTAAAATAATTATTATTAAAGTATTATTATGTACAAGAATAGAAAGCAGGGGCGGCCAAATGGTCGATCGCGGACGATGTCAGAGTCGATTATGTTAGAATTTATTTTTAAGCCACATGTGTTCCGTAGAAAAAAATAAACCATAAAAATAAAATTTAAATTATTTAAACTTAAATTAATTTAAACTCTAATTTTTGGAATACTCGATGTATTCATAGATTCAATTATTTTAGCCAGAACACTATAAGATTTCAGAATTAAGTCTATTTTAGTCTTGCTTATGTAAAAAAAATTATTTGATGTAGAATTTACCTAAGTTTTCTGAAGTGTAATCAAACATTCGAGTTAGGCCTGTAATTTCCTGTTTGTAGTTCGTACATTTTTCACTTTTTATACTCTTGCCTCTTGTTCTGAAATCTGAGACATGAGTTTGAAAAAGCGTGTATTGGGTTGTAGTGCTATCACACGTTGCACATTCATAGCAATATTAATGATAACAATTCCCGCATTCGTAGAATCTTAAATACTGTATTTAGACGCTCCTGGCGTGTTGCTCTGTTGCAGTATCGGTCATCGAAAACGATTTTTTTCCATGGGTGACCGGCCAATAGAGTTTGCCTTTGAGATCATCGAACGCAAGAAATAAAAAAAAAAATAAAACGTCCAAAAAATAACGGCCATTATTCAGTATTTTCATAAGTTCGGTTATGTTTCAGTCTAAGTTAAAGTCATCGTCTCAGTGTCACAAAGTTTCATAAGTTTGCGTATACTAGTTTTATGATAGTGACACTGAGACAATTATCTTCATTGTGGTGTCCGGTAGCCTTCGTGGATATATTATCAGCACCCACTCGTTCTCTCTCGTTTGGTCCGTATTCGTGTGTACATCATGGTCGCAACTAAAGCCCAAATATTGGGGTTGCTGAAATTTCTGAAAATAAAATAAAAATGGTATTCATTTGTA